ATACTACAAAGAAATGACGATTGTTAAATTAAGGATAGTGGTTACACTGGGGGGAGGAGATGGGTGAAGTAATATTGGGGGACATGGGGGCTTGTAGGGTATGGAGATGTTCTATTTCTTAATGTGGAGGGGTGGGTGGGCTCTTGTATATGTTCATATTGTTATTATTTAAACTGTGAGCTATTCATACATGTTTTATATACTTTTTTCTCATGTATGATAAATTTCACACTACATTTAAAAATGCTGTGTGCATGTGCATATTTCTGGGAGAAAACCCCATGTTTCATCAGATTATCTAAGGAACACCCAGCCTTCTAACAGAGGGCAGCTGGGCATGAAGGTTTCTGAGACTCTGTCCTGCTCTGATTGTCCGGGATGGACAGAGCCCTCATGCAGTCTGATCATAGCTCAGCCCTGTCGGCTGACTTCAAGGTCTGTGGCCTTGAACTAGAAGGAAGAAGATGCCATCATCGTCCCCCGGAGTGGGGGACTGTGGAGGAGCAGGTGTAGGCACGGGTCAGGAAGGGGAGGTCAAGGACCCTACTTTAGATGTGGCAAGTCTCAGCTGCCTTTTGTCACCCAGGTAGAGATGTCCAGTCTGTAGCTGGATAAAGGCACGTGGAGTTCAGGGGAGTGGTCCAGCCAAAGAGGTCAATGTGAAGGTCGACAATGGATAGATGCTCTCTAATGCCGGTGCCTGGATGTGGTCAGTTAGGTTAGAAGTTAGCAGAGAAGAGTTGAAGAATGGAGCCACATCTGGGTAAGTCGGAGACTCCAGCACCCCCTGGAGGCTTCAGTGGGAGGTGTCCTGAGGGAGACGGACTTCTGCTCATGGGGGTTCTTATTGAGGGGACTTTTATGCCATTTGTAAATGCAGCACAACTTACACCAATGAAGAATGAACTCAGGGAAGGTCAGCTGCAATGAAACATAGGTCCATTGTACCCAGACAGAAAAAGAAAGGAAGGAAGAAGTGCAAAAAGAAATATAGAAATGGAAAGCAAGAAAGAAAGAGAAAAAGAAAAAGCAAGAGAAAGGAAGGAAGGCAGGGAACGAGAGAGAGAGAGAGGGAGAGAGAGAGAGAGAGAGAGGGAGAGAGCAATATTCAGGCAAACCTGTCACCCTGTCCTCTTTCTTTCCTTAGTTTTCCCACTGGTGCAATGGCGGTGTTGGTTCTGACAGTGTCCTCAGGACCCAGCCCCCAGGGATCCAGACGAGTGCCAGCCCAGCCTTTGTGTGCCAGGGCCTTGGTGTCTGCGGGGAGGTGGCCAGAGCTGCACTCGCAGCACCAGCCGTCGCCTTGCACCCCATGGCCTGTGTCACCATGCGCCTGGTAAGTGGAAGTGATGCCTCTCTGAGATCACATCAGCTCTGATAAGGCTCCAGCCTCCTGTGTACAACTTGCCCTCGGGCCACCTGCAAGGGTAGGAAGCAGGGCACCTAGAGAAGCCACATGGCCCCGTGGCAGGGAGTCTGGGCTGGAGACGCAGAGAGGTGGCTTCAGCCCAGTCCCAGCCTGCTGCCTGCACCGCAGGCCCCAGCAGTCTCAGAGGTGGCTCTCTCAGGACTTGCCCACGGACGGTGTGCAGGCACTGGGGGAAGCGCCTCCCTCCAGCCCTGCAGGGAACACTTCCAGGGCCTGCCCACACCCCTTGTCATCCTCCGTTCCTGCCAACACAGACCCGGCCCAACAGCGTCCGGCTGCCAGGACCTGCCATTCTGCTCGTCTGCTCATCGGGCTGGACGTGCTGGGAAGGTGGCACCTGGCGCAGCCTCCGTGGATAAACACTCCAGCTTCCTTGTCCCTTGGGTGGGACAGCTCTGAGGCATGCTCCCTGCGGCCTCCCAGAGGTCCCCAGTGGGACTGGACACCAGGCGCCCCCAGCAGTAACTGCTCCTTACTCCACCCTCTGTTGGCTTCCTGCCCTTTCCCGTCTCCCTTCTCCACTCCCCTGCCCGTGCTTGTAGGGAGCATGTCCTCAGTAAACCACTTGCATTCGAATCTTTGCTTCAGGGTCTGCTTCTGGAGGAACCCAACATCAAACAACCCCAACCAAAGACGCCAAACCCAATCCAACAATGAGATCTCTTGTGGTTCTTTTATGCTTATTTGTAAATGCAGCACAACTTACGCCAACGAAGAATGAACTCAGGGAAGATCAGCTGCCTTGTGCATGTTTGTTGGAGCACCATCTATGCAACAGGATATATCAGACACTGTCCTTGTCCCTGGTAGGGAAGTCACACATGTAACTATACTAGACAAACACACAAAGCACAGAAATTTGACTCTGTTGTAGGAGGTGATTATCAGGGAAAGCTTCACAGGGGAGATGACATTGGGGGTTTTGGAAGATGAATAGGAGTCCTCCAGGTAGAAAAAAGAAAGATGGAATATTTTAAAAATCCACAAGTGTGAAAGAGCACATGTTCAGGGAACCACCAGTAGTTGAGTATCTCCCATGTTGTTAAAGGATAAAGCATATTTTGGAGGTGGGCAAGGGTTTATAGGGGGAAAAAAAAAGAGAGAATTAGAATAGCAGAAGATGTGGCTGAGTAAACAGGCAGAGTCTTGTCTGCATTGCCAAAGGTGTTCAGATATCATCTTGGAAAGATTGTTACAAATTGCAGGTGGCTTGGGCATGGTGGTGCATGCCTGTAATCCTAGCACTTTGGGAGGCCAAGATGGGAGGATTGCTTTAGGCCAGGAGTTCAAGACCAGCTTGAGCAAGAGTAAGACCCTGTCTCTACAAAACATACAAAAATTAGCTGGGCATGGTGGTGCACGCCTGTAGTCCCAGCTACTTGGGAGGCTGAGGCAGGAGGATTGCTTGAGCCCAGGAGTTTGAGGTTGCAATGAGCTACAGTGACACAATACAGTGAGCTACTGCACTCTAGCCTGGGCAGTCGAGAGAGAGAACCTGTCTCAAAGAAAAAAAAAAATTGTGGGTTACCTTCTTCTGATTATGCAAGTGTTAAATGCTCATTGAAGAAAAGTTGGCAGATCCAGAAAAGTATAAAGAAGAAAAGAAAATTACTTGTAATCCAGGGTTAAGTCACATGGATGTGTTGGTGTCTCGGAACAGTTTTAGGCAGAGGTGCCAGGTGGTCAGACTGATGGTTGGAAAGAGCTCTGGCAGCTGGTGACAATCATGTGGCCAGAAAGAAAGACACTGGTGGGGTGACAGCTAGGAGGCTGCTGCAGCAAAAAAGGTGGGGGACCCCTGGCAGGACCCGGCGGCAGTGGGGATGGGGGGCTTCTCCCTCGGGGTGTTTAGGAGGAGGGGTGATCAGGGTTTGATAACAGATGGATGGGGCGTGGGGGTAGAGGACAGAGGGGAACATGGCCACTAGAGAGACGCTGAGTGTCCCCATCCATAAGATGGAGGGGGCAGAGGCAGGGAAACAGGAGACCTGGGTTCTCATTTCAATTCTGTCACTTCCAACCTGTAGGACCTCAGAAAGGTCCCTTGGGCCCTCAGAGCCACAGTTTTCTGGCCTGCTAAATGGAAAGATGATTCTGTCCCTGCTTTCCTCAAAGGCTTGTCACTGTGGGCCACAGCTCAAAGGAGACAAACACCCCTGATGTGTGGGAACCTACGGTTCCAGGCACTTGTCCTGAAACCTCTGCCCAGCCCTTTCCCTGACCTGCCTCCTGTCGTCAGCCCCCAGAAGGCCAGGGAAGAGCCACCGTTCCTCTAGGTTTCCCTTCTTCTCCCCTCTGTGTCCTGCTCAGAGGACATTTGTCATGCTGGCCCCTCTGGTGCAAAGGCTGTGAACACCCCCATGCACCGCCATTCATTCATTGACTCATTCACTTCACATGCTCATTGATGCCCTAGTTGTATAGGACGGACAAGATCCCTGCCCTCCTGGAACTCATGTGCCACCCAAGGGGAGACATAAAATAAACCAATAAAGACGATAAATTCAGATAGTGATGTAATGAAAGGAATAAATAGGGTGTTATGATGGAGACTGGGTATATTTTGGATTTGGGTGGTTGGGAAGGGGCCTCTGGACTGAGACCTGAACAGCGCTGGCAGAGGAAACAGCATGTGTAAAGGTCCTGGGGTGGGTTACAGCTGGGAATGTTTAAAGAATGGAAAGGCCGGGGTGGCTGGGCTGATCCAAACCCCCGCCCATCCCACGTAAGTGCTGTCGCCTCTCTGAGGTTCCTCGTCTCACCACCCACCCCTTTCTTGCAGATTCAGCTCCATCCAACTTGCACACGTTCGTGGTCACCACCAGTCCCTCCACACTGGGTTGTGATCGGCTCTTCACACACTGGCCTGGGAGCTTTTGGAAGGCAGAGACTATCTCCTCCCCAGCCAACACTGCCGAGGCATACAGCAGGTGATCAGTGTTGTTTGATGATCGAATAAATGAATGAATAGATGAATGAACGAGGGAGAGAATAACCAGGAACGACTGGCAGGTCCAAATGGCTCTCTGCTTTACTTAACCGCGACCTTCTCAAATTCCCTGACCCCTTATTTAAACTGCAACCCACTGACCCCATTCCCTCATCACGCTTAGCACGGTATCACCCTGTCACCTACCACACAATGTAGCGTGTGTCCTGTTTCCGCCTGTCTCCCACCACAGAGTGCAAACCCCACGACGTCAGGAGTCTCTGAGCGGGCTGTTCACTAACCACCCCACGCGCCGAGCACAGCGCCTGGCACGTGGCGGGCACGTGTGAGAACCGATGAGTAAAGGCATGAATGAATGAGTAAATAAACGAGTGAGTCCCAGCTCTCGGCCTCGTAGAAGAAGGGTCACACTCTCAAATGCTCTGCTCGCCTGCCCGTGACGAACAGAGATGCAGGAATAAGTGCCGGGCTGTGACTTGTCAACACGCTAACCCAGTCCAATAAAACCGCCCATCAGCCGGCTGGCCACCGGTGTGCAGTCCAGGCCGCCGAGCAGAACAGTCCCATTTCGTGGATGGAGAAACTCTGACCAGGTGGTTTACGCGGCCTGCAGCGGACGACAGAGCTGGTGCTGCACCCGCCGTCTGCCCCCGTCCCCCCGCACCCTTCCTTTCTGGGTCCCCTCTCTGACGCAGCTCAGACCCCAGTTCTGGGAGTCTGCCGCTCTCCTCCCGCGGTCGGAGGGCAGACCCTGGTGTCCTTGGGAGCGGCGTGCTGCCCTGTCGCGGGATGCAGAGGGAGTGCTCGCCCGGGTCCTCGAGTCCCCGCGAGCCCGGCTCCGCCGCCCCCGGCCGCGCCGCGCTCCCGCCCCTGCCCACCCCGGCCGCGCTGTCAGTCTGCATTAGCGCTAACAGGCTCCAGACGGAGCGGGCCGGGCGCTGGGCTAATGCAATCGGCGCGTTACCTGGGGCGCAGGCTACATTACCAGCCCGGCCCCCGCCCGGCGCGGCCAGAGCCAGCCAGCCCGCGCCCCGCCGGTCGCCCCGCGCCTCCAGCGCTTCCCCGGCCGCGCCCGAGCGCCACGCGGCGGAGCTCAGCCCCGGGCCGCGCCCCAGAGCCCGGCAAGGCGCGGCGGGTCGGGGGCAGGCAGGGCGCACGGCGGATCTGGCTGTATCCACTCACCCATGGCAGACGGGCAGGCAGGGCGCACGGCACCCGGGACAGCCTCGCCGCCGGACACGTGAGTGCGCCCTGCGCGCGGGACCGGGCTAGGTGTGACCGGCCTGGGGAGGCCGGGGCCGGGATGCGCGGGCTGGAGTGCCACCAAGTTTGTGGTGCACAGGTGTAAGTGTCCGGGAAGGCTCCCGGGGCTGTTAAGGTGGCGCAGACCTGAGCTGGGGAGGGGCGCGGCACGCTGCACCCGGCCCTGTCCCAGCCCTGGAAACCTCTGTCTCGGAGGGTCCAAACCCCGCCGTTTGGGGGCGCGAAAGAGCGGCTGAACGGGGGCAGGCGCTGCGGGGTCTTTGGCAGGACACACAGGGCGGTCTCCAACTCTGAGTTCCGTCCATCGGGCGCGCAACCTCTGTTTTCCAGCAAATGCGCGCCCTTTTCTGGGAACCTGTGTCGCCTCCGCGCGTGCTGACCCTAGTGTCCCTGGCGCTCCTGGGGGAGTCTCAGGAGGCGCAAGCGGGGAGGAACGCCCGGTGACCACCTCTTTTCCTTTTATCCAAGCAGAGGCTCGGCGTGCCCTGGGGACCAATGAAGTCCCTCTCGCCAGCCGCACCCATGCTTCTGGCGCGGATGAACCCGCAGGTGCAGCCCGAGAACAGCGGGGAGGACCTGGCGCCCGAGCAGCCCCTGCGGGCGCGCAAAACCGCCGAGCTGCTGGTGGTGAAGGAGCGCAACGGCGTCCAGTGCCTCCTGGCACCCCGCGGCGGCGACGAGCAGCCCAGGGAGACCTGGGGCAAGAAGATCGACTTCCTGCTGTCAGTGATCGGCTTCGCGGTGGACCTCGCCAACGTGTGGCGCTTTCCCTACCTCTGCTACAAGAACGGCGGCGGTGAGCGCCCGGTGGGGCTGGCGGGTTGAACTTGGGAGGCCACCTGTCCGCAGCGGTGGCCGGGACAGGAGCTGGGCTACACATGGGAGGAGAACGAGGAGACAGGGTGGCAAGTCTGGGGTGCAGGAAGGGACTGGACACGGCTCAGAAAAAGAAGGGGCCGAGTCTTCAGTCAAAGAGTGAAATCGAGGCGTGGCTTTGGACAGTGACAGGTGCATGGGTGGAAAGACAGAATCTGGGACACCAGGTTGGGGAAGGAACCTGGACCCGATGGCCCTGAGGAAGGGAAGTGGAGATTTGGAGAGCCCTTGAAGGAGCACCATAAGTCCGTGGGATGTGACAGTGAGGCACATGGTGACCCTAAATCCAGCACTCTGAGCCTTGAAGCAGGGACTTCTGGGCCAGGAAGGGGTAGAAGACTTGGGTTCCCTGAAGACACCTGGGGAGGCCCTGCACTCCTGGGGATAGAGACCCTGGAATAGGTTGGCAGTTGCTTTGCGGGAGGTGTCAGCGTGCACAGCCTCAGTGGGACAAGGTCCGGTGGGCACCAAGAGCTGGCCTGGTCCTCGAGGCAGGACGCCTGGGTGATTGGGATGAAGGTCCTGGCCACCTTGCAGGGTGGAGGGGGAGAGGGGCTGACAAAACTCCAGTGGAGCAGCCAGGCTGCTGGTCAGCTTATCCACCTGCCCCGGCATGATCACCCAGAGGCCACCTATGGTCAGGAGGAGGGTGGGTGCCACGCTGGGGGAAGCAGCCTGGAAGTCAGGTGCCGATCCCTAAGCCCAGCTCCACCCCGAGGGGCTTTGTCCCCAGAGTGCCCAGACCACCTCGGTCCTGCCACTTTTGCTGAGATGAGCTCAGAGATGACCCACTGAGAGCCTGGGAAAATGAAATTCTGGAGGAAGAAATTGCAGAAGGGGGGAGCTCTGGGAACCCCTCTCTGTCACTGGGCCACTCTGCCCATCAGTGGCTGTGACTCACGACTTGGGGGAAGTCAGAGGGAGGGAGGGTGAGAGTTGGAGCTGGGTGAAGGGAAAGCTTATGACTTTGTTCCATAGGGTCTGGGACTCACAGCTCTTCCACACTTGTCTTGGGACGGGCAATGCTTGGTGTTTGCAAAGAAAGGGCCAGGGTGACCGTAGGGAGCAGAGGATGCTCCCTAGAAAGCGTCTGGCTCTTCCTATGAGGAAGTTAGCCCAAGGCTGGAGCCACAGATAAGGGTTTGCGTCTGTGATCTCCGTTGTCACCTCCTGAGATGGGTCTGTCATTGTCAGATACTCTGAGGCAAGATGTCTGGGACAGCAGTCCTGAGCTTCAGGAATATCTGAGGTCTGGGGCCTGACCCCTTGGGGACACTTTCTACTCTGCAGGCTCAGTACTTGCATCTGGTCCTAGGACGGTGGGCGGAGCGAGAGGTGAGAAAAGGGGAGCATGATGCCACTTCTCAAGGGGTCCTGGGCAGGTTTGAGCATCCTGGCCCTTTGGACCTAAGGAGAGAGAAAATGCAGAGTCCATATATTTTTAGCAGCCAGGGAGATGATGAATGAGAGACAGACTGAGAGACCTTAGGACACACCATCTCTCATGTCCCCAGTGACTGTCCGAGACTGCTTGTCCCTAGACAGGGGAAGGCTCTATCATCAATCAGCAATATCTAACTGGCTCCTCTCAGTGTGAGGCACAGTGCGAGGCCCTGCCGGGGTCACCTCGATGCAGGAACAGCCACTTCTGTCTGCCAGGAGCTTAGTCACCTGAGGTCTTCTTGTCGTGCCGCTGCACGTTCTTTCCATTGTCATCCGTGCTTGTTGAAACGGAAAGCAACCAGACGACCAACTTGACAAGTCAGCTAGATGGCCATTCCAGGGCTTTCTCGGGCCGTGTGCTCACTTGGCCATTACCACCAATGCAAACAAAGAGCACCTGTTGTATGCAAGGTGGTATGCCAGGTTCCTAGCGTACAAAGTGGAACAAATTCATCACAGGTTCCGCTCTTAGGCAAAATTGGCTGGAAGCTCCTTCTGTTGGGCTTCGGGCCCTGCACATTGCTCTTCTCAAGTTGGGTGATTTGTGTCTTTGTGGGTTTATCTCCCAAACAGGCTGGGGCACCTTGAGGGCAGAGACTGTGGCTTTTTTTTTTTGTCCCCGCATTTCTAATGCCCAAGATAAGGCCTAGATCCTGGGAATGTGGCAGAAGGTGCCCAACAAACTTCCAAGCCCTCAGAGACCTCCTGCCGTATCCAGAAACAACGATAGAGACACCTGGTGACAACTAGCGAAGTGAAGTCGCAGGCAGCCTACGTGTTGGGAGTCTTACGTTCCAGTTCCCACCTATGTGGCTTTGGCAACTCATAAAGCCTCAGTTTCCCCATCTGTCAAATGGCCGTAATGCCGTTCAGCTCAGAGCATTATTGTGAGGACCGACTGCAGTCGTGCCCAGGGAGAGCCCGGCCTGGAGTCTGGCCTGAGCAGAGGCGGCTGCTGCTTTTCATTATCACTGTGATGATGTATGCCACGGGTGGGGAGGTGACAAGTGTACTAAAGGCCCAGGGAGGGGCTGCTTAGGAAGTACCCGGAGGGGGGAGCTGTGGTCGGGACCCAGTTGCTCTGGGGGGTGGGCACAGGCAAGCCGTGGGCAGGGAGGACGTATCCAGCGTGCACCGGGGCGGGGACATAGCAGCGCCGGCTGGCTGAAGGGCAGGCCGGGAGAGATAAGGAGGGCAAGTTGGGGCTGGGCTGCGGAGGCCTTGAATGCCAGGCTAAGGGGTGGGGACGTTGTACCAGTGAATTTCCATTTCTGGTTGGTGTGTCCATCCACACGGTGGGTGTCGGGGAGCAGTGCAGCCCCCATCTTGGAGTACCCCTCGCCCCTCCAAGGTTGTTCCCCTCTGGGCACGTTTCTGCCGAGACCTCCTGGCTGTGCCTTGTGGATCAATTCTCATCCGGTAATTCTGAAGTTAGCCTCAGGCATAGGCCAGCGGGCGGGAAGGTGGGTACAATTGTGGAAGCAGCCAGAAGACCCACGTTGGAATCCCAGCTCTGCCGCTCGCTGTGTGACCTTAGGCCTGGCACGGCTCCTCTCTGCGCCTCCAGCTGTCTGCCACAGCTGGACATACGCTTAGATGACCGCCCCCCGACTCCCCAACACTCATCCCTTTCCAATGCCCTGGCTCAGGGCTAAACCGAAGGCGGGACTCGCCCGTCCTGTTGTTCCATAGCCCTCAGTCTGTGCGCTCTTCTGGTGCCAGTATCGACAGAGCGACTCTCCAATTCTGACTGTTGGCGCTGGCCCGGACTGGAGGGTGTTTTGAAATGAAGAAGGTGCCAATAGCTTAGGCCCCTGGCTAATGTTTTCTGAATGAATTACTGGGGAAGATCTGCCTGTCTGAACATCTCACCAAAGGCCAGCTGCTGGGAGGCGCGGGCTGCGGGAGGTTTCGGGAGGGGAAAGCCACTCTGGGAAATGCCGAGGCTTCGTTCAGAACCTTCTGGAACAGCTGGTCTCTGTGGGGAGGCAGGACGGGGCAGCGGGGCTATTTCTAGGGTTCTAGATTTTTCCCTCCACACCTGCGATGTTGGTCCGTGCTGGTCCCTGGGGAGGAGCAGGCAGACCCCCTGGGTGCCCACGTCTGCCCACGGCAGCCCCCATTCTGGAGAAGAGGCCGCTGTGAATTAATTGTCCTTTGCACATCACTGTTTCCATTTGAGATGTGCCCGGAGGACACCTTTGAGCTGTGTGTTGTGGAGAAACTATGGCCGTTAGGTTCAGGCAGACTTGGGTTTGAAACTGAGTCTCATATTTGCTAGAAACCCTCACCTTCTCTGCCCTGAGCCTCAGTTTCCTTGTGTAGAAAAGGGGACTAACCCAGCACCTAGTGGCAGGGGAGGATGACATCAGAGACCGTGCATGTGAGCTACTTGACATGGCGCCATGTAATGGGAGCTCAATAAACGTAGTTGTTAATATTTTGTTATCGTTCAGTGATATCGGCTGCATGCTGGACCCAGGAGTGGGGCGGGGTCTGGATTTTGGAAGGAGCAGAACTGATCCTAAGAGGAACTTGGTGGAGGGAAACACAGCTGCAAAGTGGTGCCACTTGGGGCTGGGCCTGGCACGGTGGAAAGATCCAGAAACCCAGAACCGGGCTTCGCTCCATGTCCTGACAGTCTGGCCGCGTCTCACCATAGATTCCCCACCTGGGAAAGGGGGTTCGCATTCCTGCGTGGGGTCCCCTGAGGGCACCATGAGATGCTGTGGTTCTGAGTGCCCAGCGGACTTCCCTTCCTTCCCCAAGGAAGCTCAGGGGCTCTTTTGGGAAGGCTCTTGGCCAAAATATCTAGGAATCTCGAAACCAGGTGCAAGGTAATGGCTGGCACAGAGGTCAGGAGTTTCCAAACTCAGGCCACTTACATCTGGCCTGGCCGCAGGGGGCCGTCTACACCCGGAGCTCACTGAGCCAGACCCGGATGGGCGCACAATGAGGCAGCCAGCTGGCGTGGCTCTTGGTTGACAAGTCAGCACACCCCTTGGCAGCAATGAAGCGCTCATCTGGGACCCAGATCTGGGGTCACCGGCGTGACTTGCCCATTACTCCAGGCTTGCCAAGGGGTCTGGAGACACTGTTCCCGACAAGACGCGGTTTAATAGGGATAAATGTTACATCCTGCCCTGCGGTCCCCAACCCAACTGCCTAAGTGAGGATCAGGTCGCAGCACAAGTGGAGAAAGGCCCGGGGGCTTTCGTTAGCTGCGTCCTCCACGAGAGTCGCTGTGAGATGCACTTATTTAACCAGAACCACTTACTGAATGCCTGTCGTACGCCGGAATTACAGGGATGAGCAAAAGACAACCTGTGCCTTTAGGGAGCTCGTCGTCTACTGCAGATGCCCTAAAAGTTAGTGTCATTGTAGATTGTATTATTGAAGGTATCCTATCCCAAATGAGGGAGGTAAGGTCCTCCTCTGTTCTTTGTGGGCGATATCTCCCTCTGCCATGCAGTTCTG